CTTTCCTGAAATTCAAGCAGAATCTTTTTATAATATTGAATGTGAAGAGGGTTAATTTTCATTTTGTTTAAAATATATTCTTAAAAATTCTAAACATTATGATATTATAGGAAGTCTGGAAAGATGAAAAATGTGACCCAAAATTCCATCCAACCCAACACAACCATTTTTGTTTTGGTATATTTCTCCTAGTTCTTTTCTTCCATACATAGTTTACATTGTCATAATGCCATGAGTCTTCTTTATCTTTGTTACATAATAAGCATTTTTCCAAGTAATTACCTAGTCTTCATATCTATCTATCTATCTATCTATCTATCTATCTATCTATCTATCTATTTGAGTAGGCTCCACGCCCAATGTGGGGCTTGAATTCATGACCCTGAGATCAAGAATTGCATCTCTACCGACTGAGCCGGGTGTCCTCCCCATAACTATTATTTTTTCTTTAAATAACTATTACTTTTAGAGGCTGCATAATATTCTATGAAAAATGTGTTATCTTCATTGATAGTCATTTTTTGGTTTTCACGCTCTTGATTATTTAAAAGTAAAAAAGTTTGCAGCATACATCTTTATGCACAAACCTTTCTATTATTTGGGGTCATTTACTTAGATCCCCAGAAATGAGATTATTAGTGCTGAAATATGAACACCTGTTAGGCTTTTGGAATATCCCTGTGGTCCCTCTAGTTTCCACTGAGATAAAGCAGGAGCCTTTGTTGCCTATAAATTATCTTCTACCTCTACTAAACCAACTGAGTCACCCAGGTGCCCCAAATCCTCTACCTCTACCATTCTGGAGGCTCTTTTTTGACATTACTTTGCATTTTCTGTTCTACTTTAGGTCTGAAATGCAGCTCTGCAGGGTTCATCCCTTGTAACTCACCTTTTTTGCATGTGGAAGAGTTATAGTAATATCCTAATGTACACAGGCAAAAATGGGTATCATTCAGGGTAACACATGAAGAACCACCTTTACAGGGAGTTCCTTGGCAAGGATTGCTGGGAACTGAGAGAGAGGAAAAAGAGATTAAAAATCCACAGAATGACAACAGATGACACCGAGAAACATACTTTAAAATCTTCATGCCTCCCTCCTGGGCACGTTCTAGTCTTTGGTTGAAGAGCATATGCCTCTACAGAGTCTGTTGTGGAAATTCTGGAGCCAGGTGCTTATCAACAGTAAAGGCAGAGGTTGGTGGGTAAGAGTCTGCTCGGAGAGACAGCCGTCTCCTAATTCCATCTTCAGCATCTTTGGATCACAAGGATCCTTGAGAACCTTGATATCTGGTCCTCTAACACCAGGTAGGGCTTCCTAGTACCATTTGAAAGAGAGCGTCCTATTTTTCTAGGGAATTATGAGTAACTGTCTTATAGGGACAGGCAGGAAGCCCCCAATAGAAAGGAGGTATTTTTTGGGGGTTAGCATACAAGGCATACAGATACAAGAAGGAAAGGGATGGTAAGGGACCCGGCAGATAGAAAGTTTGCAGAGGAAGTGATGAGGGCACACTCCACCCCCTGGCTTTCTGAATGGATGACTTGAATGGATGGTGAGAATTATATTGCAGTGGTTTCTCCATCATTGGTTGGTGCTCTCAGACCAGGCATCTTTCCTCTCTCTGGAGAAGTGGTAGGACTGGGGAGTGGAGTTAGGTCAAAGGAAAATGGTTGTCTTGGCTGGCCATTTTCTCCATCTCTGTCAAATGAAATGATTCTGGGCTTTGATTTCAGAAAAGATGGAGTGACTGATCAAGAGGTGTTAATGTTCTTATGAACCTATAGGTAGGAACTGTTGATTTTTTTAAAAGCTATATATAAGGTACAATGTGTCAAGCATCCTCCCTTTTGTGATAAAATGAGGAGAATAGGCACAAACATACAAATATGTATGCTTGTATTTGCACACATTCCTCTGGAGATAGATATGAGAAACTGGCTATAGAAGTTGCCTCTGGGGAAGGGAACAGGAGTCTGGGTCCTAGGGGTGTAGGATAGGAGGGAGATTTAGTGCTTACTGCATATACTTTTGCCCTGTTTAAGCTTCTTTCCTTCCATAACTGTGGGTCTAATGTACTTTTATTTAAAAAAAAAAATTCAAAAATAAAATAGGGCTGATGAGGATACGGAGTAACAGGAATGCTCATACTGGTGGGAAAACCAAATGGTACAGCCACGTTGGAAGACAGTCTGGCAGTTTCTTACAAAACCACACACACTCTTACCATAGGATCCAGCAAGCGCACTCCTTGATATTTACCCAAAGGAGTTGAAAACATGTGCATTCAAAACCTGCACAGGAATATTTATGGCAGCTTTATTCATAATTGCCAAAACTTAGAAGCAACCAAGATGTTCTTCAGTAGGTGATATGGATAAAACCATGGTACATTCAGACAGTGGATTATTATTCAGAGTTAAAAAGAAATGAGCCATCAAGCCATGAAAAGGTATGGAGGAATCTTAAATGTATATACTGAGTGAAAGGAGCCAACCTGGAAAGACTAACATATGAGTCCAACTACATGACATTCTGGAAAGACAAAACCATGGCAATAGTGAAAAATCACTGGTTGCCAGGAGTGGGGGGTGGGTAGGGGATGAATAAGCAGAGCACAGTCAATTGGTAGAGCAGTGAAAGTATTCTATGATACCGTATAATGGATGCATGTCATTATACATTTGTCCAAACCCACAGAATGTGCAGCAGCAATGGGGAGCCTTAGCATAGCCTGTGGACCTTGGGTGATGATGCTGTGTCAGTGAAGGTTCATCAGTTGTCACAATGTACCCTCTGGTGAGGGATGTTGATAATGCGGGAGGCTAGCCTCAGCTGTAAGTAAGCAAGGATGGTTTGGAAAATCCCAGGGAAGACACTGAGTCAACTCTACTCAGGATACACCAGACAAGTAACTCCTGGTAGGCTTTCTCTCCCGCAGTGAAGGACAGACCTGCCTGCTGGTTCTGTGTGCCAGGAATAAAGGCACAAGATAGTACAGCTGGAAGGGATTTTGGTGCCTATTTAGTTCAGCCACATTATTACGGCCGGGGAAGTTGAAGCCGAGAGAGAAGTGACTTGCCCCCTCCCCACAGTGAGCTAGTGGTCGGGCCAGAACACAAGGCGGCTGCCTGCCTTACTCTGGGAGAATGTCTGGGGAAGCAGGAATGGCTTAGAAAAGTTCTCTTTCCTGACTCCAGTAGAGCTGGCTGTGCAGCTGGGCCCCAGGTGGCCTAGCCTTCAGCGTGGGCCCTTCAAACATGAAAGCAGACTGGGACCCAGGTGTTCTGTACAGGCTCTGGCTCCACTTGCTTAATCGTCCATCTCTGAGATCTATCAAAGAACATGGGCGGAAACCAGAAGAAGTCAGTGTAGGGGGACATCAGCTTGCTCTTTGACCTTGGGCAAGTTGCTACCCTTGCTGGGCCTCAGTTTCCCTGAAAATGACAGGGTTTATGTAGACCCTTCAAGCCTAGATCTGAGGATTATTTTAGACCGGGGGTTGGGAAACTATGACTCAAATCTGGCTAGTCTTCAGTTTTTGTAAATAGCGTTTTACTGGTATACCGCCAGGCTCCTTCCTGTGTATGTTGACCATGACTGCTTTCATGTTAAAATGGCAGAGGGGAGTAGTCACAACAGAACCCCTATTGTGGCCCGCAAAACCTAAAATATTTATTAGTTTGCCTTTACCGATAAAGTTGGCTGACCCCTATTCTAGACCAAACTTTGGGAAATGAGGCAAGTGGTTTCAATAATTTTGGCTTGAGGTCAATTGCCATCTCTTAGTATTCCCGAAACATCTGTCCTTTGGACAACGGCCCCCCTCCATGTCCAGGACTGTTTGAGCACTGCTGTTGTTTGGCTCTTTATCCCTCAGGCTCAAATTCCATGAATTAACTCAAACTCCAAACTGTGATCGGCCACCATCGTGATGTTCCATTTTTCACTAACATTGTTAAGGAGTCAGGGCAGAACTGACTCCTTCCTTAGGTAGATCAGTGAGCTAGACCAGTGGGGCTGGTGAGACAGTGCTTGTTTGGACCTCAGAGAAGCTGAAACGATTTCTAAAAATCCCCTGGAGAGGTAGCTTGCATGATGTCCACATTCATAAAAACATTCCACATCTAGCTTGAAGTGGCACAGGTGGGAAGGAAAGGAGAACAGAATGAAACCACGGGTTTTCTTTTAGGGTCTCTGCCATCACTACTAGCCTTTGTGACTCAGTTTTTTAATTCCAGGGGTTCATAGTCAAAGAAACCTTGGGTGTTTTGATACCCACTTCCCTCCGCCAGCAGAACACACTTACCTACCATCCTCCACAACGCCCTGACTCCACAAGTAAGCAGTCTTTGAGGGAAGGAATCGCTCTTACCTGGGGGACGGGAGTTTGTGGTGCTGATCTTGGACGAAGTGACCTTGTCAGGAGTCACTGGAGTAACAGCCTCTGAGGAATAAGTTTGCGTGATTGGGGTGACGGTCGATCCATTATTGCTCATTTGTGTTGTTGGAGAAGGAGCAGTTGAGCTTGAGTTACCACTTACAGGTGAGGTGGTCCTAGCGGTGGTGTTACCTATAGGTGATGTTTTCGCAACTGTGCTTGATTTACTTTCTGTAGACGTGACAGTGGAGGCTGGAACTGTACTTGATACAGAAACTGAAGTAGGTGGGGTTGTGGTGGTGGTGGAAGCAGATGAAGCTGGTGCGGTGGGAGTAGTAG